ATATATCCTTATTTCAGGTAACTTGCTTCTCATTTGGTTTTGTTATTATCTCCTTATATGTTTTGTGATTTACTAAAGGTATCTCAGAACTTTAAAAGGATATGTTCGTAATCGAGCTCGTACAAAAGGTTTAATTGCGGAGGCATATATTGTCAAAGAATGTCTTACATTTTGCTCGATGTATCTTAATGGTATCGAAACAGTTTTTAATCGCGAGGAACGAAATGTCNGTGAAAGGTTTTAGAATGTAATGCCGTCCGAGGGGGTATTTGGGGCGTTACAGTGTTCACCCAAAATGTTCGTCCTTTTGGGCGAATTACACGAGCAACTAAGGTCTCTCAATAAGAAAGAGAGATGACTCATTGGTTTGTCCTACATAATAGTCCCGAACTGGATTCGTATCTAGAGTATGTGTATGTTAAATATACATATTTGTTAGCATTCTTATTGTACTTTTTAATTGTTTAAAATTTGTTATATGTCAAATTTATGGTTTTATACGTAGGGAACACAAAAACATATTAGAGTTGGAAAGAAATGGTCACATCACTCGTCGCCACCAAGCAAAATTTCCCAAGTGGTTTGCAAAACGTGTAAGCTATACAAATTTAGAGTATAAGCATTATTTGCATTAGTTTGTAAAACCATAAAAACTGTCATATTCATGTGTGTAGATGAATCAATTACGAGGCGAAGGGTCACATGAAGCAACTGATGAATTATGGTCACTAGCAAACGGTCCTGATGTGACAATAAAATTGTACTCTGGAGCAATATGCAATGGTGTTCGATTCCACACTAAAGAGCATGACAATCATCGAAAAAGCCAAACGGTGGGGTAGTTGTAGAAGGAGAACATAATAACAAAACAATTAACTCCTACGGATACTTAAATNGTCACATGAAGCAACTGATGAATTATGGTCACTAGCAAACGGTCCTGATGTGACAATAAAATTGTACTCTGGAGCAATATGCAATGGTGTTCGATTCCACACTAAAGAGCATGACAATCATCGAAAAAGCCAAACAGTGGGGTAGTTGTAGAAGGAGAACATAATAACAAAATAATTAACTTCTACATATACTTAAAANATAAAATTGTACTCTGGAGCAATATGCAATGGTGTTCGATTCCACACTAAAGAGCATGACAATCATCGAAAAAGCCAAACGGTGGGGTAGTTGTAGAAGGAGAACATAATAACAAAACAATTAACTCCTACGGATACTTAAATAAGGTGTGGGAGATGAGTTACTTATTTGGCCATCGTATTTTTTTGTTCCAATGTGAATAGTTCAACCTTGGTAGTGGGAAAACAGTTCAGACTGATGCTCATTTTACAAGCACTAATGTAAAAAGTAAATGGTATCAAAATGACCCTTTTGTCCTACCTAATCAAGTGAAACAAGTATTTTATGTTAATGACACAAAATTGGGTAGGGATTGGAAAGTTGTGCAACACATACATCATCGAGGAATATGGGATGTTCCTGATTTGGAAGATGTAGAAATTAGTGAAAATAGATCGTATGTTCCAAGTGCGCCTTCCAAGAGGATGAATCAACAGAGANTATTTTATGTTAATGACACAAAATTGGGTAGGGATTGGAAAGTTGTGCAACACATACATCATCGAGGAATATGGGATGTTCCTGAGTTGGAAGATGTAGAAATTAGTGAAAATAGATCGTATGTTCCAAGTGCGCCTTCCAACAGGATGAATCAATAGAGGTTGCTCCGGTAGTGGTTGAAGATAACGAAATATGTCAACTTCATAGAACTGATCTTGATCCAGAAATCATTCCTCGAGATCGAATTGTCCAGTGGGGAAGCAAAGAAGACAATAACATTAATGATTTCATATGTGATGACAATGATGTGACACAAGNGAATCAATAGAGGTTGCTCCGGTAGTGGTTGAAGATAACGAAATATGTCAACTTCATAGAACTGATCTTGATCCAGAAATCATTCCTCGAGATCGAATTGTCCAGTGAGGAAGCAAAGAAGACAATAACATTGATGATTTCATATGTGATGACAATGATGTGACACAAGGGAGTATGTCGATTCAGAAGAAGATGATGATGTGCATTCCAATTTTGATTCTGATGAAGAGTCAGATATGTGGATGAATTATTAAGATATTTTCATGGTAATTAATAAATTATGACTTATATAATTGGTATACTTAGATATTGTCGATATAATTTATATATTTCTTTATGTAAGGTGTTTTATATATATAGGACCCGATCGCCGACCCACTACAACAACTAGTAAGGTTGCATCCTCTGAGACACGTACTAGGGGTGCATCCTCGATTGCACGTGTTGAAGTATCTTCTGATGCACCTACATCACAGCCTATATTGAGGGTAGCAGTACAGGTTTGATGCATACTTTACTTTGTAAACATATTTTTCTTACTATGGTGGGCTAACATCTATTATTAATGTTTGCNCATACTTTACTTTGTAAACATATTTTTCTTACTATGGTGGGCTAACATCTATTATTAATGTTTGCACAGCAGCTTCTACCACCAAGAAATGAGGTGAAGGACCATCTAGAGGGAAAAATGTTAAGCGTCTTCGTGCAGCTCACGACCCCCTTGATGTCTTGATTCCTGATGGAGTCGGCGTTCCAGTGGGTGTAAATTCTGCAAAGGTAATGACAGAGATTGGCTTCCCGGCGAGGACGTTTTCCCCTATTTGAAATGTCCACAAATGCNGGGTGCATCCTCGATTGCACGTGTTGAAGTATCTTCTGATGCACCTACATCACAGCCTATATTGAGGGTAGCAGTACAGGTTTGATGCATACTTTACTTTGTAAACATATTTTTCTTACTATGGTGGGCTAACATCTATTATTAATGTTTGCGCAGCAGCTTCTACCACCAAGAAATGAGGTCAAGGACCATCTAGAGGGAAAAATGTTGAGCGTCTTCGTGCAGCTCACGGCCCCCTTGATGTCTTGATTCCTGATGGAGTCGGCGTTCCAGTGGGTGTAAATTCTGCAAAGGTAATGACAGAGATTGGCTTCCTGGCGAGGACGTTTTCCCCTATTAGAAATGTCCACAAATGGAAACAACTAACAGAAGAGGAGAAGGCACCACTCATTGCACGATTGTTGGTTAGTGGATATATTTGTTTGGTTTCAACAATATATTTATTTGTGTATATTGTTACAACTTGTTGTAATTAATTTGAAAATTTTTATTATGTTGTAGACAAAGTTTAACATTAGAGACTATCATAAAAAAGTTGGTGTTACGAAGTCAATCGACAAAAAAATTTGCTGCGAGGTATAGGGACCATCGATACCATATGCATATGTACTACAAGGATTTGGTTGACTCCGGTGTTGACCCAAAGAGCAAGCTATATGGTGATGTGAGTCAGGAGGATTGGGACTACATAATTGAAACACTTAACAAGGATTCAAAATTTGAGGTAACTTTAAATAGCTATGCAAATTAATATCCATTTTTTATTCCTATTTGTGTACTAATTATGTTCTTTGTATATAGGAAAAATCTAAGAAAAATGCGAAAAATCGTGTCAAATTGTCATACAACCACTCGATGGGTTCAAAGTCCTTTCAGGCTACCCTATATGAATGGGTGTTATATTTTAACATTTGCTTCCTAAATTTTAATATATAAGAAATTTATAAATTTGTGGATGATATTTTGATTAACTATAATAGAGGGACCCTACGAATGATGAGCCACCCCACATTGTTGAATTTTTTCACGATTCTCATGCGAACAAGAAGGGTGAGTGGGTTTCTGCTGAGGCAGNTAACTATAATAGAGGGACCCTACGAATGATGAGCCACCCCACATTGTTGAATTTTTTCACGATTCTCATGCGAACAAGAAGGGTGAGTGGGTTTTTGCTGAGGCAAAGTCAAGATATGTAAGTATTTCAAATAGTAGAAAATTATGTTTTTTTAAAATAAATTTTGTATTATACACTCACTAATTGGGTTTAAATATATTAAATTGTAGGAGCGAATGAAAGAATTGACCACACAGAACTTAGAAGAGGGTGTAGAACCATTGGCACAGGATGAAATTTCATGCACAATCCTTGGCAGTAGATCCGAATATAAAAAAGGATTTGGACATGGCCCGAAGCCTTTATCATCTAATGAGTCATTCAAAGCCACTACTGAGTATTGACAACAAGCTGATATGATAAAACAGTTGCAAGCAACTATTGATTCTCTTCAGCAGGAACGTGATGAAACGAAACAGAAGCTAGAGAAGGTTGAAGACATGCAACAGAAGTTTGAAGAATCCTAGCAACGGATGATGCAACAACTTTTGCAGATGCAACTTCAAATGCAATGTGCTTTGGGTGGCACCTCAACTAATGCAGACATGCCACCTGAGTCGTAGTTTATGTGATCACTATTTCTCGTGATAGCATATAATACTAATTTTTGTTGTACCCTAACTTTGAATTCATTCCCTTCTTTGATTATGTTTGTCCTTGCAGCAAAATATGATGTTGCCATCTCAACAACATGCCATGGACTTGATTATATTGTTGTGGAAACACCTGCTGCATCACAAGCTTGCGTGGGTTTACTTTGCAGTAAAAACCTTGGTGTTGCAACTTTCATGATTTCGGTAGATATTTCATAAAAAGTGATGCTTAACATGGTTGTTGTATATTTTATGTTCATATTTGTTACTACTAGTTGAAATGAAGTTTCCAACACCTAACTCAAAGAATTTGGCTTTGGGTGACAAATCAATTCAAGTGGGTAAAGTCAATAAAATTTACTCAGCCCTTGCTAACATATTATGCTTGTTGTTTCCAGAGTCTAGCCCTTGTGTCATTTTTCCTTCCACTTGAAATTATAATTGTCACTGTGTTGCACATAGTGGGTTTGATTTGCACAGGGACTTGCGCAGGTAACTATAGATATTGATTGAAAAAGAACACTTGATGGTGCCCTTTTTGAAAAAATCTGGTGCTATGAGTGATGGGGGAAGTAAGCCACGTGGTGGTAAGATGGGGACATCTATCCGAGCTTCCAGCATTTCTGAAGAGGCCATCGCTAGTGCTGAAAATGAGCTTTCTGTGATGATTGAAAAATTAAGTAATACACGCAAAAGAATTGCTGATGCTATGCAACATTACCAGGCTACCGAAAAAGCAATTTCCCACATGGAGATGGAATTAGCAAATAGTCAAAAAGAGGTGACATTCTAGATTATATCGTTAACCACATCAATTAGTTCTATCTTAGTAGNCATGGACTTGATTATATTGTTGTGGAAACACCTGCTGCATCACAAGCTTGCGTGGGTTTACTTTGCAGTAAAAACCTTGGTGTTGCAACTTTCATGATTTCGGTAGATATTTCATAAAAAGTGATGCTTAACATGGTTGTTGTATATTTTATGTTCATATTTGTTACTACTAGTTGAAATGAAGTTTCCAACACCTAACTCAAAGAATTTGGCTTTGGGTGACAAATCAATTCAAGTGGGTAAAGTCAATAAAATTTACTCAGCCCTTGCTAACATATTATGCTTGTTGTTTCCAGAGTCTAGCCCTTGTGTCATTTTTCCTTCCACTTGAAATTATAATTGTCACTGTGTTGCACATAGTGGGTTTGATTTGCACAGGGACTTGCGCAGGTAACTATAGATATTGATTGAAAAAGAACACTTAATGGTGCCCTTTTTGAAAAAATCTGGTGCTATGAGTGATGGGGGAAGTAAGCCACGTGCTGGTAAGATGGGGACATCTATCCGAGCTTCCAGCATTTCTGAAGAGGCCATTGCTAGTGCTGAAAATGAGCTTTCTGTGATGATTGAAAAATTAAGTAATACACGCAAAAGAATTGCTGATGCTGTGCAACATTACCAGGCTACCGAAAAAGCAATTTCCCACATGGAGATGGAATTAGCAAATAGTCAAAAAGAGGTGACATTCTAGACTATATCGTTAACCACATCAATTAGTTCTATCTTAGTAGCGGAGAGTCTGATGCATTAAATTTCTTTATTTATGGCAGATTGACAGTTTGACCTCACAATATGGTGATCTTGACTAGTTTGACCAATTTACATATCGTTGGTGGCTCCTAAAAACTATGTCTGTTTATAGCATGCACGCATTATGTCTTCTTGTTTTGGCAAAAATTCCCTAATGTGCCTATGATCTCTGTATTTTTAAGCTTTAGAGCTTCAGAGTATGATAGAAAATGTAGGCGGGGAAAGGATAAAAGCCCAAAAGTTGAAGGTT